ATCACTCCCAGCCTGCAGGGAGGACTGCAGCTCTCCCCTCCCGAGCCTGACTCACCTCTGTGAGCATCGCATCCATCCCCGTGCCGGGAGGATGACAGGCACGGAGGAATGATATCTTCATTCCTCACTCACCTTCACGCTCTTGGGATCGAAGGCAGGCTCGGAGCCTGCAGCTGATTTGGTGAATTCCTTCTTGGGGTCGGGTTTCTTGAGCGGCATCGCGCTGGAGTTGGAGGAGGTGCGGGGCGAGTCCGAGCGCAGGGATGAAAGGCAAAGCTGCTCCTTCCCTTATATACAGAGCCCAGTGCTCACCCCGGAGGGGCAGGCCAGCTGCTGGAGCAACTGCTACTTACTATAAAAGGAAGAAAACTCAAACGAGAGGGGCCCCAATTTGACAATTGCCCATTGTCATCAGCTCCTGGCTCGGCCAAGCTACCAACCACCCCCTCCACCAGCAAAAAAGGGGGGACATCTCCCCCTCCAGCACCTGCACTGGGTGGGCTGCTTGCTAAGTGATCACTGAAAACCTAAACACAAGTGGCCACGGGGGCATGGCAAGAAAATAGCAACAGGGTGGCTGGTAAACCTGCCGCGATGCTCACGGAGAAGGAGATGGGTTTTAGGAAGGGTCAGTGCTGCAAGGTCTGTTTGAGACCTGGATTTATCAAGTGCTGCTTCAAAGGAGCTCAGAAGTCTCTGAACAATCCCACCCAGCCTCGTGCTCAGGGTCTGTTTTGCCCCATTGTCTTCCCAAGGCTGAATTGTGCCCTGGAAAAGGTTGTGGTCATCCCTCTCAGGATGGCTGAGGAGGTAATGCAAATGATGGCCAAAGCCAGCAGTGAGTTCATCAGCTCAGAGTCTTTCCCAGCCCTGCACCACCCATCCAAAACACCCCAAAAACCTGCAGGGCAGATGGAGTCTCCTTTTGGCTCCTCTTTGGGCACTGTGCAGGTTCCAGTGGGAGATGCTGATGCTCTCTCCCTTCACTCCCAACTGTTTGAAGACCCAAAGAAGAGGTAGAATAAGTAATTGAGTTTCAGCATCCCAGAAAACAGGACTCCAGGGTTACACTGGGACACTCTAAACCATCAACTGAAACACAGATTGGAACAGGGCACAGGAGGGGGAAAATGCTCCAAGGCACATGGTGGGATTCTTGGGGTGTCCTGTGCAGGACTTGATGATCCTTGTGGGTCTTTTCCAACTTGGGATATTAAAAACCCATCCCTAGTTTGCACTGGGGTCTGAGAACTTGTATTCTGGTAACAGAAATCAATGGACAGAAATGGTTTCCAACAGGTGAGAGTGTCCTGTGTGCTGTGGAGGTTCTGCACAGCCTCATTTCTCCAGCCAACCCTTCCTTAACTTGGGCTCAGGGATGGCTGGAAGCTTCAGGAACAGAATCCTCTGGGATGCTGTTAGCCCTGGTGCCAGAGCTGCAAGGTCTTGGTGCTGACTGAAGTCTGAGCCATTATATTTGTACATAAGTATATATGTACACACTCTGTGTATAGGTATTTAAGTGTTGTTTATACACAGATACAGAAAATACCATTTTTATTTTCAGTGGCTCAGGCTGTTGGATCACAGCAGCTCAGGCTTGGCACAACCAGATAGGTCTAATCCTGATGTTTCAGAGCTGCTGCAGGGCCAGGAGTGATGGGAGCAGAGGTGTCACCAGCTCAGCTCTGTGCTCAGACCCCCCCAGCTGCTTCTTTGCTGAAACTGGAGGCTGAGCCACCACCAGTCAGGTTACAGGGGTCATTCAGGAGGAGAGAACAGCCACAAACCACTGGGAAATTTGCTGTGTGCCATCATCAACTGGTTGCCAGAGCAGACTGGGGAGCTGAGGGGGCTGGATGATGGGGTTGGTAGGTGTATTTTGCACTGATTGCTTTCCAGAGCTCTCTAGAATACAACAAGTAATTTAGCAAAAAAACCCCCAACAACCACCCCAACATGTTTTGCTCACTGTGAACTCAGAGCCTGGGTCAGGTTTCTCCTGCAGTGGGAATCAAATTGCCCCTGAGCTGCCTCCCCCTCAGCTCTATCCATCCACACATGTGACTCCAAAATAACCTCACCTTAACTCCATCCTCACTCCCTGGCAGTTTCTGGGGCAGAAATCAGAGCCAGCAGGTCCTTCAGAAAACATGAATCCTGCAGCTTAACTCTCCCTTGCCCTCTGTGCTGGTGCAGCATCCCCAGGAGCTCAGCAGAGTGATGCCCTGGGCTGGTTCACACCCACACCATGGGCTGGTGGTGGCTAAACTGGGCAGCAGATGCCCCTAATCCCTCCTTGATTTCCAGCTGGTCCCTATGGCAGGGGTTGTTTTCCTGTCTGATTCAGGCAGCAGGAGCAGCAGCATCTCCTGGGCTGTGTCATTGGGTTTGCTGTGCTCCCTCAGCTGCTGCTGTGCTTTCCCTCGCTGCAGGAGCTCAGCAGAATTCTGACCCTCCTCCTTGGGGGCTCATGGTTGGGACCAGGACGAGTCACCCTGCCAGGAAAACCCCGAGGGAGCTCTGGGGGCTCTGCTGCTCCGTGCTGGATCGTGGCACTTCAGGAGGGAACAAGAGCTGTGCCTGGACGTGGATTACGTGGGCTAAGGGAGAGGCCCATGCTGGGAGCTGCTGTTCCTGGGATTTGGCACTGGGCTGTGGAATTCCAGCCTCATCCCACTAATGATGACCTGCTCAGGACTCCCCTCCTTGTGCCCCATTTCCCCAGGGGAGCACTCAGGCTGCTGGGGGGACACAAAGTGTTGGAGTTGGGCATCAGAATGATCCCAAAACACAGGGGACAGCCCTGGGGGATGTAGGTGACAAGGGACAGCTCTGACAGGGATGGTGACAGTGACTGATGATGCCCAAGGACCTCTCAGCTGTGTGAGACCCCTCAGGGTGGCAGAGGAGCTGCAGATCCAGGAGACCAAACAGAGATGTGCAGGGAGGTGCTTGGGGGAGCAGGACTGACCCCAACACGTGTCCCCAAAACTCACTCCAACTCCCAGAGAAGGAAAAGGGTTAAACTGGTGCCTGTCTGAAAGACATCACAGCTCTGGAGCATCAGTGTGAGGTGCTGCTCACGTGCTTGCACCTTCTGCATCCAGCCACCTCGCTGGGATTTTCCCCACCTTCCTCCAGCTCCTTGGGACCAGTTTGGGGCTGGAGGGGACTGAGGAGCATGGAGGGGACTGAGGAGCATGGAGGCAGTGGGAGGATGCTGTGACAGCTGAAAAATGACCCACCAGGCAGTGAGAGAAGTTTCTGAAAAGAGGAGAGGAATCTGCCTTGAATGAAGAAGAGGATTTTAGCACCTAGGGCTAAGCCAATAAACCTCTGCCATCCCCATCTGAACGGGAATTGTTTGCACAGGCTTCAGGAGCTGCTAAAAGCAGGCAAGACACAGAGAGTGGAGAGGATCAAGCATGGTGTGGGGAGAAAGGAGGAACCCCCTGCCCGGTGAGCCTGCGAGCAGGTCCCTGTAGTGCTGGGACAGGGACTCACCCCAGGGCTCCCCCAGCCCTGAGCTCCCAGGGACAGGCTGTGCCCTCACTGCCACCTCACCTGGACGGGGCCAACAGCCAGGAAGGTGCTCCCAGAAGATGCTCTACACTCCAACCCTCTCCATCACCCACGGCTGGCAGCGACTCGGGTCCCCGAGTGACACGGTGGCACCATGGGCACATCCATCCCCACGGGAGGTGTCACCTTGGCTCTTTTCTGCTGCTGCCTCCTGAGCTCTGCGTGGGCTCTGGTAAGTCTGTGTGGGCTCCTCTGGTTCCTCTCCTGGATTTAAATGCTGCTGAGTGTGCGTGTGTGACCCACTGTGCTCAGGGCTCTGTGCTCCCCTCCGCAGAGAGCAAGGGGAGAGCACCTCCACTCCTGCTAAAAGCCTCCCAGCAGCCATGGAGGCACTCAGTGTGATGGTTTTTCCATTTCTTGGATGCTCCAGGGCAAGGTTCAGTGCCTCAGAGGCTCTGGGAGAGCAGAGGGTTATGGTCAGTGTGGGTGAGGCTGGAGAGATGCAGCCAGGGCAGAGCTGGGCACACTCTGTGCATCCCCCAAAGCTGAGCCCCCCACCCTGCTGATGCACCCCCAGGATCCCCCACTCCTGCCCTACATCCCTCACCAGCCCCTCAGCCTCCCAGGCTTCTGGGAAGAGCATGGGGGGAGTTCAGCATCTCTGGGGTTGGGTTTGGGTAGTCTGGGAAGAGCAAAAACTCCATTCTGGCTCCCGTTCACTTCCAAAGCTGTTTCCTCATCCCAGTTCCAAAATCTTTCAGCCCAAAACATCTCAAAAGGCATTGGCACGTGTGGTGTGACCAGGAGGCTGCAGCTGCCACAGGCTGAGCTGTCTGCTCTGGGCTGCTCCAGGATTCCACTCCTTCCCAGAGCTCCAAGCAGGAAATTTATCCAGGGGCTGCCAGACCTGGAGAGCTCAGCGTGGGCAACAGGGACACCCAGCACTGCTGGTGGGAAGGGTGACAGGGAACAGGGGCAGGACACGACATCCCACTGATTTCTGCACAGAGATAGGAGTGGGCATGGACCATGGAGAGGGTGGGAAGGGACTCAGTGTCAGCCTCAGTCTTGGAAGAGGGAAAAATGAGAGCAGGAAGGCCAGAGGAGCTTTTTTTCTTTATATTTGAATCTACCCAAAGCCACACAAACCTGACTCACCTGGGGAGGATTGGGAGGGTTTGGCCACGCCATGACTTGAGCTAAGGGATCATCACTTTGGTTTTGTCCTGGCAGGTTGACCCTGATGATGTTCTCACGAAAGAAGAGCAGATCTATCTCCTGGTGGAGGCCAAGGAGAAGTGTGAGAGGGACATACAGGCCCAGCTGGAGAAGATCAAAGGTATTGTTCCTCCCCTGTGGTGGTCAGCCAGCCCTGGTGGAGCTGGTTACACCATGAGGATGCTGTCCCCTCTGATGGGAGCAGGATGGGGCCAGGGACATGTGGCTCCTGAGGGTTTGTGGGGCACCTTGGCCCTCTGGCTGCTCTGGGTGCAATTAGGTGCTAATCAAACCATTGCCTTGATTACCCAGCACTGGCTGCACCCCCATGTACAGCACAAATGAGAGCTGTGGAGGGGCCTTGGCCCCCCTGGAAGAGATGGGATGTGTGTCCCCCAGACCTCCCCAGCTCTGCAGCCCAGGGGGGATGTGTGGCAGTGTTTTCCTCTCCCTGGTCCAGCACACCTGGGGAAACCAGAGGTTACCCTCAGGCCCTGACTGGAGATGTGAGAGGTGTCTTTGCTCTCTGGCCAGATACCAACTGCCCTCCAGAGTGGGATGGGATCATCTGCTGGCCAAGGGGCTCCCCCAGCCAGGAGGTGTCTGTGCCCTGCCCTGAATACATCTACGACTTCAACCATAAAGGTGAGTGTTTGCACCTGGACAGGGAGTGACCTCACCTGGGCGACAATTCTCCACGGAGCAGGGACATATCTGAGCTTCCCGTGGGTCCTTCTGCTGTCACAGCCCCTGTCACCATTCCCAGGTCATGCCTACAGGTACTGCAGTGCCTATGGGACCTGGGCCATGGCCCTCAGCATCAACAAGACCTGGGCCAACTACACTGAGTGTGCTCTGCTCTTCTCCTCCGAGAGCCGGAGCCGCGAGAAGGTGACTTTGCTTGCCAAAGGTGCTGGGATAGGAGTCAGGATGGGGAGCAGGGAAGGATGCAGTAATGCCAGGAGAATTGCTGGCAGCTGAGGGTTCTTCCCTCTCTGCTCCCCCTGTGCTCTCAGCCTAGAGGTTGGGGGGTCATGGAGCTCAGCCCTTCTCTTGCAGGAGGTGTTTGAGCGCCTGCACCTGATGTACACCGTGGGCTACTCCATCTCCTTGGCCTCCCTCATCGTCGCCGTCTGCATCCTCTCGTACTTCAAGTAAGGAGAGGCCAAATCCCCATCCCCATGTGGGGAAAACCCTCTTCTCCCCATCACCACCTGCATGGCCCCAAGGGAGTGGGAACCAACCCTGAACTCCATCACAAACATCAGCCAATTTCCCAAAGCCCAACACCTCCTAAGTGTGACCAACTCTTGAAGGAGTGGACACCCCAGTTTCCCCCAGATTTTGCTTCTGTGCCTATGGGAAACACCCTGGAGCTCACCTCTGGGCCCTTCCCACTGCCTGAGCCCAGGTGTGATGAGTTTGTTGGGCAGTCAGGGCTGGGCTGGTGTCACATCCCTTCTCCATAGGCGCCTGCACTGCACAAGGAATTACATCCACGTCCACCTCTTCACCTCCTTCATCTGCCGAGCTGTCAGCATCTTCGTGAAGGACTTGGTGCTCTACTCGGGCACCGTGGCCACCGAGACAGACAGGATGGATGAGGAGGACTTCAAGGCAGAAATGGATCCCTCGCCGGGACAACGGAGCCACTTGGCAAGTGGCACACTGAGGGTGGAGGAAAAGGGGATTTAGGAGCCCTGGTGCAAGGGGATGTGCTTGGGACCCTCCCAGATCAGGGCTGTGCTGCTCAGGGGGAGGGGATGAAGGGTCACCTCTGGCTCTGCCCAGCTCTCCCCATCCTGGTGGCACAGCACAGACCACAGAGGATGTTGGTTTGCAGTGTGTCCTGCTGCAGGGCTATCTGTACTGTGGGAATGACCTGGAGCAGCTGCTCTGTGTGATGCTAAAATATCCAAGGGGAGATGTAGGTCTCTGCAGGAGGAGGGTGACCCACACAGGGGGCACAGGGCAAGAGCCCCCAGGCTTTGCTTTCAGCCTGCCATGAGCACCTCTCTGCCTGGGTGTCCACAGGTTGGCTGCAAGGTGGTGGTGACTCTCTTCCTCTATTTTCTGGCCACCAACCACTACTGGATCCTGGTGGAAGGTCTCTATCTGCACAGCCTAATCTTCATGGCCTTTCTCTCCAACAAGAACTACCTGTGGGTCCTCATCATCATCGGTTGGGGTAAGCTGGGAGATGTGGCATCAGCCAATGCTGAGTGGTCCTGAGTGCCCAAATCAGAGCAGTGGGATGCAGGAACTGGTTTGATCTGCAGACAAGCTGCTCCATCCCTGCTCCTCACTCTGGTTCTGCCCCTCCAGGTCTCCCTGCTGTGTTTGTGTCCATCTGGGCCAGTGTCAGGGCCTCTCTGGCTGATACACAGTAAGTAGGTTCACCTTCTCCAACAGCCCTTTGGGAGAGAAGGAGTGGTTGCAAATGCCAGAAAAGTTCTCTGTGGGTACCAGAGCTTTTGGAAGTGAAAATTTGCCAAAAGAATAAGAGGAGGGAACACAAGTTCAAGGCTTGTTCACAAAATTGTCAGTAATGCAGAGTGATGGTGGTTTTGTTCTGCATTTGGGAGGATGATGGATGCAGGTTTACACCCTAAGTTGATGAATGAAAAAGATGGAGTGAAGCATTTTAAAAGGACAAAGGCCACCACACAGACAGCAGGAGCTTGGGATGAGGTGGCCAAGGAGCCCTCAGGAACATTAGTGCTCCTTTAAACCTGATTTGTCCCATGATGTTCATGAATACTTGTAGGTACAGGTCAAGATTTACACAAACCCCACCAAAGGGGTGAAGGGTGGGAGGACAGGGGTGTTGGTTGGGGTACAGGGAGCCATCAGCCAACAATTTTCCTTACCAGTGATGTCAGGTTTCCCCAAGATGTTTCTTTGTTGGTCTTCTCAGGTGCTGGGACCTCAGTGCAGGCAACATGAAGTGGATTTATCAGGTGCCCATCTTGGCTGCTGTTGTGGTAAGAATCCCTTGGCTGAATCTCCCAATCCCTTTTAGGGAAAAGAGATTGATAGGCACCCAGAGCTGAATTTTTTGTGGTCACTGGGGTTGTGTCCCAGCACTTAGGGAAGGCCCAGAGGGATCTGACCATGGCATCACCTCCATGTGGTGCTGCAGCTCACCTAGACCTGCCTGTGTGTCCTGGGGGCTGACCCAAGGTCACTGTGGGCAACACCACTGCACTGGGTGTCTGTTGGCAGGTGAACTTCTTCCTCTTCCTCAACATTGTCCGGGTGTTGGCCTCCAAGCTCTGGGAGACCACCACGGGGAAGTTGGACCCCCGGCAGCAGTACAGGCAAGTGGTGCCAGCAGCAAACCCTCCCCAGCCCTGGCCTGGCTCCTGTCCTGCCTGCTCAGGCTCCCAGAGGTGGAGAATGAGGAGCAGAGGTGTGGGAAGGGCTGGAGGAGTGAGGGAGGGTGGCAGGATGGTGCCTCTGGCAGCTCAGGTTGATTGAGACATGGCTCAGGAGTTCAAGCTCTGCCTGCTCTTGTGTCCAGCCTGGACACTGCAGGGGCTGAGGACTGCCTGGTGGGGCCTGGCTCCAAGTTTTTCTGCCCTCAGGAAGCTGCTCAAGTCCACACTGGTGCTGATGCCACTGTTTGGAGTTCACTACGTGGTGTTCATGGCCATGCCCTACACAGAGGTCTCCGGGGTCCTGTGGCAGATCCAGATGCACTATGAGATGCTCTTCAACTCCTCTCAGGTACAGCCACATGGGGTTATCTGCTCCAAGCACCAAGTGATGTCCATCCAGGAGACACATCCTGGCTCTGGACTCAGACTCCTCCTCTCTTGGTCTCTCTTGGTAGGGTTTCTTCGTGGCTTTTATCTACTGCTTTTGCAATGGGGAGGTGAGTGAGCTGAGTTCCCTGTTCCAGCCCCTTTAGGGCTGGGGAATGCTAACCCACAGCTCCAGGCTGGGAAAACCAGAGCAGAAAACTTGGACCCATCCCTCTCAGCAGGATTTGGAGGGAGGGAAAAAGTAGGGAAGAGAAAGGAAAGGGGAGG